GAACCCAGATACACCGACTGCCGATAAACGTGGACGTCATGGTGAGTCGGCTCATGCCAGTAAACACCACTGGGATCCAGATCATCAGGGCCATTGGGTGGGCCGATACCAGAGTAATAATACTCCTTACCGAAGACAGAGACGCCTACATGGAAGGCACCACCAACGCCAACCATAGCCAGAATGGTGTTCAGGCGGACGATGCCCTGGTCCAAGTCGTACACGTTGAGGACCACCGCATTGCTCTCGGGGTTCTGCGAGACCTCTGGAGGAAGCAAGTCTTTGATATTCCCTTGCTTGCCCCCGCCAGAGATAGAACTGGACGACGCTATAGAAGCGGTGGAGGAAGAGGACGACGTGACGGAAGTGGTTGGTAATGAGCACAAGGGATGGCGCCGGACGCTCATGACTCAAGGGGAGCTAATGAAACGCTGTTTATGGACGGACTCCAACGAAGCAGTTCGGGGGGACCACGACCAACTACGTTCTTTGCATCAGAAATCACCATCCAAAAAGGGCTATTAATAAAGTCCTTTACAGGCTATCAGCAGTAACTCTATCACTCACATTAGATACTCTATCACAACCAAGAGTATGTCCCAAGGGTGGTGCCTCCCATTGTGAGGGTTCTGAACTCAACAGGCCTCAACATAAAGGACAGGCTTAGCCGTGACTATGGGAGTACACCATGATTCTTACGAACGTTGCATCCTCCGACTTGGAGGCCTCTAATTCGGTATATGCCCGACCAACGCTGTAGTCAACACTCACTGGGGGAAGCTGATACGCCAGCAAGGGCGGCATCAAATCGCCAAGCTGCACATTTAGACATCCGCTCGAGGTTATATCACACCGTAGGGCGGGGGAGAAAGACCATGGAATGTCCGTGTTTATGATAGCGACCAGTTGAGGAAGCCTCTCTACTGGGGCCTCTGCCGTTGTCACAGCATCACAACCATGATCAGGATCTTCTAGTCCATGCCTTCGCTCACCTACCGGTGTT